TTAACAATACGCGCACTGCAGGGGGGTTGCTTTCAACCCCCCTGTGGTTTTTCACAGATCACGAGAAAACGGCGGCGCGCAGCAAAGCCAAATTTTGTATACCTTTTCTCCCATATTCTGCGCACATTGTGTGAAAATGCTGACTCCAGATGACCTAAGGTCAGGTCACACACAGGTCAGGATATTTCGCACTTGGCCTGACTTCGCACTTGGACTGGGAGCATAAACGCCCGTCCATTCGCAAACGGCCTAGGCCAACTGCAATAACGCACATGGACTATAAAAAATAGTCCATTCGCAAACGGCCTAGTCCAAGTGCGTTATCGCACTTGGACTAGGCCGTTCGCGAATGGACTATCCTTCGCACTTGGCCCGCAACATATATATATATATATATATATATATATATATATATATATATATATATATATATATATATATATATATATATATATATATATATATATATATATATATATGTTGCAGGCAATGTGTGGAATCAGGCATTCTATAGAATGCCTAGGCATTCTATAGAATGCCTGACCGCCCAGGCATTCTATAGAATCCCTAGGGTATTCTATAGAATGCCTGACCCACCAGGCATTCTATAGAATCCCTAGGCATTCTATAGAATTCCTGACCACTTAGGGATTCTATAGAATGCCTGGCTGAAACCTTCAGGCATTCTATAGAATGCCTAAGTATTATTTTTCGCAAAATAATACTCCCGAGGCATGTAGTTAAAGTGTGTACTGCGAATCCTTCTACAACTTATATTGTAGCTTTCGACCAAAACGTTAGCTGGGAAAACAGGGGCAAGCTCCTGCACTGCTTGAACAGGGACGTTCATGAACGTCGGCGACGTGCCGCCGGTTGAACCGCGCTCACTGCGGGAGGTGGCCCGCCTGTCCTCCGGCGTTATGATACCAATTGCCCATACCATTGTTGTCCGTGAAGAATACCAAGCTGTGCCGACACTCCATATGGTGTAGTTTCATTTACGAGAGAGACCACCACAGACCGTCTCGTCAACAGGAAGGGCGAACAAAGATAGCGGCAGACCGGGGAGAGGCAGTCTGTTTCCAAACCAAAAGGTGATGCGACATGTCGCATAAACCGGCGTGATATTATGTTGCATATGAAATAACATTGGTTTTTGCATGTTTTTTTAAAACTTATTTTTACATTCACTCTTGATTTTTTATTGTGCGCTTCGAATTTGCATAGTTCAATTTAACAACTACTTAGGCATTCTATAGAATGCCTGAGCAACCAGGCATTCTATAGAATGCCTAGTCATTCTATAGAATCCCTAAGTGGTCAGGGATTCTATAGAATGCCTAGGGATTCTATAGAATACCTGGTGGGTCAGGCATTCTATAGAATACGTAGGGATTCTATAGAATGCCTGGGCGGTCAGGCATTCTATAGAATGCCTAGGCATTCTATAGAATGCCTGATTCCACACATTGCCTGTAACATATATATATATATATATATATATATATATATATATATATATATATATATATTCGTATACTTCGGCAGAATGTCTTCATTTTTGCATGTGATGTTGAAAGCCAGAGCGTATTTGCATTTGATTCGTTTCTTTTCAGTTTGTTCTATGTGTCGAATAAGCGTTTTGGTTTCGTTCGGAAGTCGATATATTATATCACCTAATGACATATTGGCTAACCGGTTTCAACGATCATTCGTCATCGTCAGAGCCTTTCGTATAAATAAATAAACACTAGATACATATATCATACACAAAGCAAAATATCAGTATATGTGCTCAAAATCAGTTTTTTGGGTTTGATATTTAAATCAAAACGAGCTAGCTCGAGCTTTAAAATGATAGGCACTAGTGATATAGCTAAATGATGTTTCCTAGTTATATAAACGTCTGAACATGAGATAAAATAAGGCCTAAAACTGCTACATAGTAGGGTGCACTATCACCCCTCAGAAGGCACCACCGAATAGCTCAGTAGTGCGCCAAGACTTGATTTGTTTGTTAATGAATGGTGTGTTCTTCGATGTCAGCAGGGCTTCAAAGATCCAGAGTTTCCTGTGGCTGTTACAGGACTTGATGATGCAGGTGTTGTCATTCAGCTCCTGTCTGGTCAGGCTGTGGTCATGGTCGTGTTCCATGTGGTCGTGTGGGCCACCTGCGTTCCTGTGCATTGTGAGACGTCGCGATAGAGTTGTTGTTGTTGCACCGATGTAGTGTTTTGGATGACGCCGGCAGTCGTCATGTGGGCAAGTGAACTTGTACACTACACAGGTGCGCTGCAGAGAATCAGTCGGTGAGTTCATGTTGTTCTTCATGAACAGATTGCTGGTTCGTCTGTTCTTGTAGTAGATGACAAGGTTGATGTCCGTGTTGTCATCGCTTGGTATGACGTTGTTGTTGATGATGTTTTTGAGAGCGCGCTCGTCAACTTTGTGAGAAGGCGAGAAGGCTTATTCGACACATAGAACAAACTGAAAAGAAACGAATCAAATGCAAATACGCTCTGGCTTTCAACATCACATGCAAAAATATATATATATATATATATATATATATATATATATATATATATATATATATATATATATATATATATATATATATATATATATATATATATATATATTCTTTGAGGCATATGTCGTTAAACAGCACCGCAGTTTTGGCTTTAGATAGTTTTCTGTTAAGTTTTTGTATCTTGTTGAAAGTTTTCTTGATTGAATCAGGAACTGTATTGATTATATCGGTTATACTCATTTAAGTCATGTTTTCCGACGCGTTTCGATTGTATTTGAGACAATCATTTTCAAGGAATGTACTAAAAAGTACCGCTAAACATGGTCGTCAGTGTAGCTATTTTGAGTTGCAAAATATTGAAAATAGCCATGTTACAAATATTGCAGGTGACGAAGATACAGATACACTTACACTTCACTATACTGGGTCACTGAATCACTTTAACTTTCAACTTTTTCATCATTTCCAACTCCCTTGAGTCTTAATGCATACCTAATGACACATACGTCATACACATAACACAGTCAAGCATTTTTCATAACGCACAGTCTCCAGCTATTCGGTTGGAGCACATGAACAGGGCCGATAAGGACCGTTCCCCATCACTTTTCCCATCAGGATCATACACCCCAGAGCGCCAGTGAGATGTTGGTGTATCTCTGTATGTTAAGTGGTGGCTTATGTCTGCTGATGTATATGGCCTCTTGGATGAATAAGCGATAGTGGTCGCTGTTGGCGTCGATGATGTCGGTGCTGTCTTTGAGTAGTTTGTGAGTGGGTTTTTGTTTGTGTGTGACTACCCAATATTCGACTGGTCCTGTGTCATCCTGGATGTGCATAGTCAACCGTCTCGACAAAGTTGTCGTAGTCGCACCAATGTAATGGTTGTTACAAGGCCTACAATCCTTGTGTGGACACGTAAATTTGTAAATTACGTTGGTGCGGTTCGATGTCTTTGTCGAAGCGGGACTGTTTTTCATCACTAGTTGGGATGTTTTCTTGTCTCGGTAAAAGATGTGAAGTTGAATCTTATATATATATATATATATATATATATATATATATATATATATATATATATGTATATATAAGGTCGATATACGTTATGCGTTTATTGAATAGTTGGAAAGAGATGCATCAAGAAGAAACTATTTTATTTGCCAATTAGGTATGTTCAAACTTACCCGCATCAACGATAATAACTTTTTTATCGGACTATCAGTAATGCTCACAAATTACATGCGACATACTCGCTAAACTACCGCCTAAAGTACCCCTCCCCTCGACAAATCCACTTCCTACTCAAAGCTGTGCGAATATCGCATTATGGGTTTAATTAAAGCCGTAATTTGTTGGGTGTATACAATTTTAGCCCTTCAAGTGATTGGCTCAGCACGTGGTAAAATTCAATCAGAAATCTCAACAGGCATATAAAAAAGTCGTGCGATTCGATTAATTCAATTCATGCATGGGTAGGTATGCGTTTTATATAAGCCCCATATCCGAGTTCGACGATTGAAAAACTGACATCAATCAAACGACCTCTCCTCTGCACACAGCGATGGCGATGCAGCCGCGAATTTCCGCCATCAAGCCGGTTATCGGCTGCCCATAGCTGGTGGTAAGAACCTATTGAGGGTCGGCTCCTCTGCGGGTCGGAGGTCGTATACGGAGGGTCGGTCCCTCTCGGCGGCCAGTAACGTATGTAGGGCTCGCTCCTCTGTGGATCGGGGGTCGTAGGAGGGTCGGCTCCTCTCCGTGGCGGGGGTCGATGGCCACTGGGGACGGCGGCCGAGCGTGCCGATTACCGGCGGTAATGCGGGCCGACCGCCGCTGCCGCTGCACTGGTGCGCGCTGCTGGTCAGGTGTTCCGCCGGCTGACCGACCACCCCGTCTGCCGGCGGAGGGCACCAGGGACAGGTCTGGTCAAGCTATCGCACACAGACAGAGCGGAGATGCAGTGACCAACGGCACCCCGCCGACTGTCGGATGGTTCCGCGCCATCCCCTGCAAAGTTGAGCGTGGAATGCATGACGGAAGACGCCGCTTCCTTGATGGACCGGCTTGGCGTCCACCTTGCGAAATATATTTAAGAGGCGAGAGGTTGTGGTGAAAGTTAACTGAGCTTAACTTACCCGCTGATTGACTTTATTATCCAGGGACTGACGATTCGAGGTGTCACCCATTCGGTCTTGGTCTAGGAGTAGATTACCATGAAAAGTGGTCACGCGCTGCAAGTGAAATATAAGGGAGGAAGTGTGCGTGTATCGTGTATGCGTGAAATATATGCAATAGGAAGGGAATGCAGTCGAAGAGTACAGTGCAAATATCTCGTCTCCTTCCTCACAATCAGGAAGAGAATGCCTCACCGCAGGAAGAGAGCCAGTGTTTACACAAATGATCTTGTTATTCAATGTATTTGGCACTGCACATAGTGGGTCTCCCTCGCCCCTCTCCGTCAGTGCACGCCCCGAATCTCACGATGGGATCAACAGCACGTCACTATCTGCTGAGCCAGGCGCTGATCAGCGATAGGTGGACTGTTTGGGGCGCGGGGCACGGTACAGGCCCCCTGACCCCTGGACCGACTATCTAAACAGCTCGGGATCAAAATACGAGTGGCGGCCGCGGCAGTCGGGCAGATAGTGCCTGAGCCGCCCTGTGGACAGTGGATCTTCGTTTTACACGAAGGTGCTCATTGCTCAGTGGGTCTCGGTGATACGCATAAGGATACTCTGCATTTCTGTCCTGTGAGAGAAGACACGACTGCTCCTTTTCACCAGAGAACCACATGAGATAGAGAACCTATACTCTGCTGCTATACAGTGCTGTTAAATATCGCGCAGCCTAGTGAACTTCCCCGCCGCCGTTCTGGAAGACTGCCTGCTGTTATAAAGGTGTGTAGTGAAATTTTGACCTCCTCGGAGAGACTAACAGTTCGGCCGGACGCGTCGGGAGAAGTATCGTCCCCACGCGCGCGCCGGCTGTAGCCATGTCCGGGGTGTCCAGCTGCCGTTTCCTGTCGCTTCTGCTGGTACTGTACCTGGTCACGACGGCCTTCTTCCTGCTCTTCATCCAGCACACGTCCGAGCGCCACCTGCTCGCCAACCACGCGCCCCGCTCGCCTCTGCTGGTCAGGCGCGCCCAGGCGCTCAACGGAGATCCACCGCCCCTAGCGCGGCGAGGGTCAGAGAGGGAGAGGGTGGAGTTCAAGAGGCGACCGGCAGACGACGAGCGGCCAAGGGCTGGTAGGGCAGCCAGCAGTCAGGGAAAGCATGATGAGGCCAGGGCTTCTCAGAAGACAGTCAACGAGACTGGTAAAAAGTCCTCCAAAGTTCAGCGGCCTCTGATTCTGTTCTGGACCCCGCTGTGGGGCCGTTTCGATAGCTGGTCGCGGTTCTTCAGCGTGCCGCGTCTGGGCGATTGCCGCGCGCGCTGCTCCTTCACCAGCCAGGAGGACCGACTGCCGGAGGCGGCTCTGGTGCTGTTCTCGGCGGCCGACCTGCCGCGGACGCCGCCGCCGCTGGAGGGCGGTCGGCCGGAGCGGTTCCCCGGCCAGCTGTGGGCCCTGTTTGCGCCGGACCCGCCGCCGGCCGAGGGGCGGCTCCAGCCCCACCAGGTGGACGGCCTCTTCAACTGGACGGTCAGCTACCGGCAGGACGCCGACGTGCCGCTGCAGTACGGCCGGGTGGTGCCGCTGGCCCGGAGAGACGGCCGGGCTGCGGCCGCCACCGTCCGCCCCCCAGACGGCCGGCGCGCCCTGTTCCGTCCGCAGCAGTGCGCTACTCCGAGCCGGCGCGAGGACTACGTGCGTGAGCTAAGCAGACACATGCCAGTGGACGTGCTGGGGCCGTGCGGCGGCGGCGCGCCATGCGGCCCGGCGCCGCAGTGTCTGGCAGCGCACGCCGCCAACCACACGTTCTACCTGGCGCTGGAGGCGGCCCACTGCGCCGACTTTGTGTCGGCGCGGCTGCACCAGGCGCTGCGGCACGGCCTGATCCCAGTGGTGCGCGGTGGCGCCGATTACGCCCGCCTCGCGCCCCCCGACTCCTTCATCGACGTTGGCGAGTTCGCCGGCCCGGAGGCGCTGGCGCGTCACCTGCGCTCTCTGAGCGGCGCCCAGGTGCGGCGGCTGCACCGGTGGCGGGTCACCCACCAGGTGCTGTCGGCCAACTGGGCGTGCGACGTCTGCACGCGCCTGCACCTGCTGGCCTCCAAGGGGGAGCGGGTGCCTGCGCACAGCGGCGACCGGCTGGCCGACTGGTGGGAGCGGGGCCGCTGCACAGGACAGAGTGTGACGCCGCCGGCAGCGTGAGCAGACCGGGCGCCCCTCCGAGAACAGGTGAAGCGCAGACGAGCCCTGATCCCGTACAATAGTGTGATGTGATAGTGTGGGTGTTGTGAGTGCTTCAAAGAGCGATCAGCGATGACGCGCATGTTTATTACAAGGCTGGCAGTCTCAGCAAAGCGAGTCACAAGAAAAACGCATTAATCGACTGCTTTGTCTTCCTTCGGGGGTGCAACGAATGTTCGTGATGTGTTGTGGCGCCATGTTGGCTCTCGTCAAGTGCCTCGCAATCTGCTTTTACCTACTGGCTGTTATGCTGAGTAAATACTGAGATGCATTTATGTAGGTACACTCTGCATTCACGGGTACATAAATATGAAGAAATACCTCACAGTAGGCACCCGGTATCTTGATGACAAGTGAAGAACGCATTTTGCAATTTGATTTTACATTAAATATAATAAAGTATGTTATATTTGAAATAGACAATAGCCACTTTACTTATAACCCGCGCCCCGTAGGGCTATCGGTGGACCCTACCACCCGTAGGGGGTGGGGGGGGGGGCGTTTCGGCCCCCTAAGATCTCGGAAATTTACCGGCCGATTTTCAAAATTCAAACGGTGTTCGATAGCCCCACCGGGGACCTACCGTGTGACCAAATTTCATTAACCTTGGTCAAACTGATGACGTCACAGGTCAGGTCAAAGGTCGGATTTTCAGCGTTCACAGGCATTTCAAGAAATTTGTTGTGAAATCGAGCAATATATTGCTAAAATAATATTGCTGAAATCCAGCAATAAATATGGCATTTAAAAGCCCGCTAAGCGTAACATGTCGCCGGCTGAAGCGGGATCGGCCGACGCGGGAAACACGGCAATCGCAATTTTGTGTTTGCACACTCAAAACTCAAGTTGTTACCGGCCGATTTTCAAAATTCTTTTACCATAAGATTGCTTGCACATTTCTTAGTCTTCTCATTGAATTTGACGCAAATCGAATATAATCAGCGGTAAGGAGCGCGTTATAAAGACGGAACCGTCCCGCCCCGACACAGTTTACAATTCAGGCGGCGCGTAACGGCTGGCGCCGGCCGCCGCGCCGCCGCGACGGCAGGATGTTTGACTTTACACCGCTATTACTAGAAAAGTTGTGAACCGATTTTCTTATTTGTTGCACGAGAAGATCCGCAATTCAATTTTGAACAGGTAGCCAAATTTCACATTAATATTATGTTTGCGGTGCGAGTTATTGGCGAAAAACAGGAGGGGTGGGCGAAACCCGCCCCCCTTCCACTGCGCGTGTTAACCCGCGACCTGGTGGGGGGGGGGCTATTTTTTGCCCCCCCCCCTCCAGACTTTTCGATATATCTCCAGAACCGCTGCGCCGATCGTCACCAAACTTTCAGTACCCTCCCGGACATCAATTTTACACATTGTGACCAAAATTTTTTTCCAAAAGCTATGATAGGTTGGCCGGAAATGACGTCAGAGTGACGTCATGTTCTGCCGTTTTCGACCAAAAAAAGGGTTTCGCGGGAAGAGCTGTCAGGCCTATAGCTTTGCAAATACAGAAAAATGTTTAGGATTAAAAGCTGTAGAATTGACAGGGCTACAAAACTGCTATCTCGGATTTTTGAATTTTTTTGATTTTGACCCCCAAAAATCAAAAAATAGATTTTTGGGATATAATAGTCAAAAAATCCAAAAAGTTTTTTGAATGTCGCAAAAACCGGAATATATGTGATAGTCCTTACCGCCTTCCATCCACATACCAAATTTTAGATTGATACCTCTTTTTTTGGCGAAGTTATAGCGAAAAAACTGTTCAAAATTGATGACGTCAAATTTTCAAACTCAATTTTTAGCAATTCTAGACTTCGTAGTGCAAAACAAAGACCACCATTAGACTCCCCGTGACGAGCTGCATCGAATCGATACCCTTTTATGCAAAAATATCAACTTTGAAATTTGACCTTTTTTGACCTGACCTTGACCTGACCTCCACCAGAAAGTGACCTAAACCGTACCTGATGGTCTTATAACCAACACCATTGGGTTGGAAATGAAAAACTGGCCATAAAACATGCATCGCACAACCTTAGTAAAGTTGGGTTCATGTGGTGACCCTTGGTGACCTTTGGTGACCTGACCTGTGACCTGACCTGGTATGACCAGTGACCTCTAATAGCAACATATGTACTAGACAACTGACGTCTTATCGCTGATTTTCGACAAAATGCGTTTTACTCGGTGTTATAGCGCTTTCCCTAGAAGCCCCGTGAACGGTGAAACATTTTATCTTTGACCTGACCTGTGACGTCATCGGTGACCCCGAGGTCAATAAAATTTGGTTTCCCTTGACAAATTTGACAGGGCTATCGAACGCCGTTTGAATTTTGCGGATCCGTCCAGTAGTTTCGGAGATACGAGGGGGGCAAAAAATAGCCCCCCCCCCCCACCAGGTCGCGTTATAAACAGACCCCACCAGGGCGCGGGTTAAATCGGAGACACTTATCCTCAATGTTTCAACGAACTCTGAAATTGAGAACCTAATTTCCATACGTTTCTGACCTCGTGCACACATCTTACAATATTCGGAGCCCTGCACACCCCGGTGCGGTTCGAGTGACTCGAGGTACGGAGCGGCGCCATTCCCTCTCCGCCCATGCCCTGTCCTCGCTGCCCAATCGATGCCGTGAAGCGGCCGCTGCGACGGATGAGGGCTGGACTGATTGGGTCATTAGCAGCGGTAGACGACCCTTCACCGTGGCGAGCGGCCGCCGTCTGTGACGGAATGCGGCGGAACGGTTCCATCAGCGACGGGGAACAGTCGCAGGGCGCGGCGTCAGAACAAAGAATGAGACGGACGCCCAAAACACGTCCAGAGCTCCAGAATACATTCGTAAATTGCTGACGGTGTTCCCTTGACACTGACTTGAAAGTTAGCCCTCGCCCTGGCAGGGCATTTTTCATAACACGGCCTGGCAGGGGGGGGGGGGGGTCGATGCGACCCCCCCCCCTCGCGATTGGCTCCTATAGCACCTAGAAATACCAAATTTGGTAGGTAGGTGGGTCCCCCGGAGTTCTCGCCCCTGTGCAAATTTGGTTGCTCTAGGTCAATATTTAGGGGGGTTTTGGGGGGTATAAATGTAAAAATTTCGCTAAAAACAGGTCAAAAGTTTTTCGCTTATAACTTTTCATCTAATTAAGATAGAGCAAAAAAAAGCACCAGTGAACTCAGCACGTCAAGGCGCGTCGAATGATATACTTTTTAGCTTGCTTAAGTGTACTTAAAGTTTTTCTTAATTCTTAAGTAAACTTTAATTAATCAATTAAGTTCAAGTTAACCAAATTGCATCATATTGCATATCATTCGATTCGGCTGATCACCAGGAACACAATGACACCATTTTTTAAGCTCTAGCGTCATTATGTGCCAAGTTATTGGCAAAAACGTCATTTGACCTCAGTTGACCTCATTTGACCTGACCCATGGATAAGTACACCAAACAAAGAAGCACCAAGTGACCTGCTGTTAAGTACTATGGTTTCAAAGCACAAAAGTGATAGAACGAAGCGGATATCTCCAGTATTTTCCGAATTTAGTATTTTCCCATAGGCTTAACATTACGACGTAATGACCTCTAACTGACCTCAGGTCAGTGACCTCAAAAAACCCGAACTATATGTTATACAACTCGGTGAACTTAGCACACCCTGAAAGTTTGAAGGAAATCAGTCCAAAACTGTGAGTTGGACAGGTGCAAAAAGAAAATTGAAATTTGACCATGACCTTGTACCGGTTTTTCTGACCTGGTGACCTGACCCAAGGTCACCCGGACCTGAAATTTTCAGGTCATATGGAAAAAGGTTGCCCCATAGGCTGTGCCAACTTTGGCGGCGCTGCGCGCCGCCGTTTTTACGCTATCTTCGAAAAACCTTAGGGGGGGGTCGCATCGACCCCCCCCCCCTGCCAGGGCGAGGGTTAGGATTTCATCACTGGTATGTAATCAGTGGCGGATCCAGGGGAGGGCAAAATGGGCATTTGCCCTCCCCAAAGCCAAATCGTGTGGGCAAGACTATCTTTTTGCCCCTCCCAAAGCATGTAGCGATGAGAAAATCTAATACGGCGTCGATGCCGATATGGACGAAAACCAGGTCTTCTTTCCTTGACGGCCATTCCGAAGGAAGGAGCTAACCACTGGCTGCTGATATTTTGGGTCGGTATGCTGATAATACATAGATGGAACTCCCTGAACTGAATGCATGCATATGCATTATGCAGTGTGGCCATGGTGTGGGGTAACACGAGGCAAGATGCCCAGTCGGGTAAGACGCCCACCACCCTTTTCGAAACTACCTAAGCAATCCACAGTTTTGTCGTTTGTTGGGAGCCTCAGTGCTGTGGAGCGTTCCGCGTAAAAAAAAAACGGCGGCGTTCCGAGCCGCCGTTTTCTACATTTTTTCATGTGTTCTGAAAATTTCAGACCAAGGTCTCTCAAGGTCACGAAGTCACTAAGTCACGTCAAGTGACATACCTAACCTAAAAACAGTTCCATTTCTGAGACACCGAGTGACGGATTGCTTTGAAACTTTCAGCAGTTTATAAGGGCAAGAGTACCTACCTACCTATATGTATAAAATGTTAATCACATGATTTTTTATATCGATGACCTAAGGCTAGGTCAATTTTGCGACCTCTCCACTAAAAGTCAAGAGAAAATTGAAAGGCGCCTGTTTTGGGCAAGCCTGTCCGTTAGCTCAGTTGGTAAAGCAGCAATGGAGTCCCGGTAGTGAGAGCCCGGGTTCGAGACGCTCCGGCGCTCGATATTTGAGACTCCTGACGGGAATGGTCTGCGGTTGGTGGGAGCAGTTGCAGACAGTTGAAGTCTGAGTGGGACCGGCCGTGTCCGGCTTTGAAGGGCACGTTAACTTTGGCATATAAATTCTCCCGTCACCCGGAATTACGCGATCGGACGGTAGGGGGCGGGCTCTACGCAACAAGCTCTGCTTAGCGTGGGCTCCGGCTACGCCAATCCGTCCTTTCAAACATTCGTGCTAAATTTATTTAAAAAAAAAACAGCATTCTTAACAATACCGAGTTACAACCTAGTGGACATAGGACATAGTGAACCGGAAAATGGCACCCGTGACCCCTTCTTATGTCCCTGAGGTCATCTCAGGTCACGAAAGATGTGCAACAGTTTGCAACAGTTCGCTAATAACTTTTGATAGAGGCAATCTAGAAGAGCAATAGAAACACCTTAGATGTGTTCAGCTTGACATTTCGGATCGACTGATGTGCAACACGACCTTTTCCGGTCAGGTCATGACCTTGACCGGTTGTCAAAGTTTTAAGTTCACTCTTTAAGATCAAATTATAACTCATTCGACGCGTCTTGACGAGAGGAGC